ACACACACACACACACACACACACACACACAGAACATGGTTGAATAATCATAGAGGGGATGGGATCACTCTTTTATTCACTATTTATCCAACATCTAGGGTAAGTAAGTACTCAACTCTGGGCCCTAACGTGATGCAAGATACAGACAAAAATGAATGAAGGCTTAGATGCTACAAGACAGATGATTGATATATATATAATACATATATAAATATATATAATATAAATATATATAATATATATACATACATAAACATATATATACTATAAATATATATAATATGTATACATATATACATATAGACACTATAAGGAATACCTTTTTGTCTTTAAACGCATTTAATATAAACATGAAAACACCTAGGTGGAGATTATCATTATTGTCAGCAACTAAACAATTCTAACACATGGTGTTTGTTCTTTCCTTCCTTTAACTATTCATTAAAATGTCTTCAAAAATAGGTACCGGGCATGGTGGTACATGCCTGTAATCCTAGTGGCTCAGGAGGCTGAGGCAGGAGGATCGCAGGTTCAAGGCCAGACTCAGCAACTTAGTAAAACTACAAGCAACCAAGTAAGACCCTGTCTCAAAATAAAAAATAAAAAGGGCTGGGGGTGTGGCTCAGCAGTTGAACCCCTAGGTTCAATCCCTGATGCCATGGGAAAAAAAAAAAAAAAAAAAAAAGTACCAGGCCCTATTTAGTCACTGAATAAAATAGTTAAAATCACAGTTGGAGTTTCCATTCCAGCTTGAAATGGAATAGAATTTTTCTTTTCTTAAATTTATTCGTTTATTTTTGTAGTACTGGGATTGAATCCAGGACCCTGTACAGGCTAGGCAAGAATTCTACCACTGAGTAGAGCTCCAGTCCCCAGGAATAGAATTTTCCTACATAAGAAAAAGTAGATCAAATAGATACAGGGAGAATAAAATAAGTAAATCATCTTTAAATTTAGAGTTGTTCAGTGGTGGGCAGTTGTTACACTTCAGTTCGCATATAAATCACTTAAAGAGTACTTTTTAGCCAGGTGTGGAGTTCATGCCTAGAATCCCAGTGATGCACAAGCCTGAGACGAAAGGACTGCAAGTTCAAGGCCAGCCTGAACAACTTAGCAAAGCACTAAGCAAGTTAGTGAGAACCTCTCTCAAAATAAAAAATAAAAAGGGCTGAGGATATAACTCTGTGGTAAATTGCCCCTAGGTTAAATCCCCACTACCCCCAAAAGAGTACTCCTTGAAACATGTAAATTTGGGGGCCTCATATCTGAGATCAACTCTAGATTTGTCCTACAGGTGAGGCCAGAAGTCTGCAGTGAGAACAAGGATAATAGCACTTTTCAAATTTTTTAGTGTACATTAACAATCACAAGGAGAGCTTGTTAAAACATGGATTCCTTGTCTTCACACTAGGATAGGATGGGTGAAGCCCAAGAATCTCCATTTCTACTAATCAAATGCTGCTGGTTTGCAAATCAAACCATGAGAATGTCTAAGGTAGAAGACTCAAGAGCCAGTTGAGGATGGTGGCACACACCTGTAATCCCATATACTTGGGAGGCTGAGGTAGGAGGATTGCAAGTTCAAGGTTAGCCTGGACAAATTGTCAAGATCATGTCTCAAAATAAAATTAAAAAAGGTTAGAGATGTAGCTCAGTGGTACAGTGCCCTAGTAACGCCAAAACAAACAAACAAACAAAAAACAACTCAAGGGACACAAATTGAGAAGTACTGGCCTACGGGTGGGACTAGACCTCTAATTCCTACTGAACCAAATTACCTTCTGGATACCTCCATGCACTGAAGGAGGAGGAGACTGGGGCACCAGCACCTGCTGCGGATGAAGGTGCTGTGGCAGGTGATGATGCTGCTGTGAGAGATGACTCAATGTTTGCTGTTGTTGCAGGAGAAGCTGTGTTGGGGACTGCAGTGCTGGTTGCTCGTTGTTTTCCCTATGCCACAGAACTCGAATAAATCGGTTGTTTAGAACTGCTTCTGTGCTAGAAATAGCCTTCCTGGCCTCCTCGTTGGTAAGGTATTGGATGAGGGCTGCTTCAGGATCACCCTTAAAAGCAACCTTTAAGAAAATAAATGGAAAGAACTTAAATWCCCAAGAGTAGGGGATAGTTAAATAAATTATGAACCATTGCTATGAGCTGAATTATGTCCTCCCAAAATTGTAATGTTGAAACCCTAACCTCCATGGACAGTCTTTTAGGAATTAACATTCAATGAGATCATAAATTTGGGCCTTAATTGGATAGGTGGTTTTGTGAGAAGAGGGCCAGCTATCTGTAAGCCAGGAAAAAAAGCCCTCACCAGGAACCAAATCAGCCCAGCATCCATGTCAGTGATTTGCACCTACCTACTTTAAGTCATGTACATTTTCTTTTTTTTTTTTTTAATTTTTTAATATTTATTTTTTATTTTTTAGTTTTCGGCGGACACAACATCTTTGTTTGTATGTGGTGCTGAGGATCGAACCCGGGCCGCACACATGCCAGGCGAGCATGCTACCGCTTRAGCCACATCCCCAGCCCCTGTACATTTTCTTAAATGCCATAAAGAAATAATGATGTAGGAAAATTTTAACAGGAAAAAAAAAAAAGAGGGATATTTGGTATAATCACATTTTTTTGTGATTTTCAGTGTGTGGAGCATTTTTAAAAAGAGAATATGTGTTATGTATACTTCCATGTAAATATAAACAGCATGTCTTTTCATCAAAAGATAAACAGTCATCACTGCCAAGCAGTAAGATTTGGTGATTTGTTTTTTCACTTGTGTTTAATATATTTCCAAGTATTTATACACCTGAACATCTACTACTTTTATACCCAAGGAAAAAAATGTTTATAAATTTCTCAAAAAGAACACTTTTTTTTTCAGTATATTGAAATACCAAGTCTCCCAATACTATTTTCTTAAATTCAATTATATTGTGGCTTAATGATAACTAGCAACTATCAAATTGAAATTTCAAATTAAACTTGTCTTTCTTTATGTGTTATAACACCCAACCACAAATTCAAATATCTAACAAGTACACAACAAAATAAAAAGGCTATAGCTTCTTTGGTCCTGGATAACATATTCTACTGCCTAAAACTCTCAATGTTAGAACCATCCTTAAACAATTAGTATTTCACTAAGATATATAAAAAAAAAAAAAAAAATCAGTCAACAGACAAGATTACAGGCTTAGAAATTACCAAAAATCTCAGTTACTAAGTTATAACACATAGGGGAGAAAAAGTCATTTGTTAAGATGTAGGACTATCTTTTTTAAGAGGGGTAGCAGAGAAAAAAAATCAAATGAATTCACAAGAACAATTCAGCTTCACAATTCCACTATAAAGGTGGGTATATAGATACACAGTGTAAAGTTCATAGCACTTAAAAGAAATGATCATAATTACTACTGACTCATTTAAGCAAGGTGAGCTGATAAAACACTACCAAGACACACAGAATATATGGATTCTGTTATTCATATAGTCACATTTACCTGGATATTAACAATAGTTCCAAATTTGCTGAAGTGTTCATTGAGCTTGGTAATGTTGTTCAATTCCTGAGGGATTTTCTTGACTTCTAATTTGGTGTTTGTATACTGATTCTTTCGCAAGAATCCTGGTTTACTCTGATTGTTATTCCCTTGCCTGAAACAAATATTAATAGATCCTCGTTAATTCTCCCACCTCATGCGTTCCCAAGAGGTAAATTAGCAAAGTAAGTAAAATTCCTATTTATTTAAAAGCGTTTTGGGAGAATGGGGATATAGCTCAGTTGGTAGAGTGCTTGCCTCGCATGCACAAGACCCTGGGTTAAATCCCCAGCACAAAAAAAAAAGTTTTTTGTAAGTTCTTAGCATTCTTCAGAAATTACTAAGCAATTCTCACATACTCCTTTTTTTTTTTTTTAAGTTGTTGGACACAATACCTTTATTTCATTTATTTTTATGTGGTGCTGAGGATTGAACCCAGGGCCTTACACGTGCTAGGCAAGCAATCCACGGCTGAGCCACAACCCCAGCCCAACATAACCCTTATCTTGATAAAATAGGTGGAGAGAAAGAAAAAAAGAGAACTGTGTGATATTACAAAAAGAGGCCAAATTGACAGTAAAAATCATGTTGGGGGCTAGGGATGTGGCTCAGGCGGTGGCGCACTCGCCTGGCATGCGTGAGGCCCGGGTTCGATCCTCAGCACCACATACAAACAAAGATGTTGTATCCACCAAAATCTAAAAAATAAATATTAAAAAAATTCTCTCTCTCACTCTCTCTTTAAAAAAAAAATAATCATTTTGGGCTGGGGATGCGGCTCAAGCGGTAATGCGCTCGCCTGGCATGCGCAGGGCGAGGGGTTCGATCCTCAGCACCACATACAAATAAAATAAAGATGTTGTGTCCACCAAAAACTGAAAAATAAATACTAAAAAATTCTCTCAAAAAAAAAAAAAAACATGTTAAAAAGACCTACAACAGGCTGGGGTTGTGGCTCAGTGATATGATGCTCTAGGGCTAGGGTTATGGCTCAGTGGTACAGTGCTTGCCTAGCATGCATAAGGTACTGGGTTTGATCTGCAGCACCACATAAATGTAAAATAAAGATATTGTGTCCACCTAAAACTAAAAAATAAATATTAAAAAAAAAAGACCTACAACAATTACCAAAGCCTAACATTAAAGCAAGGATAGAGCTCCATATTTTTCTTTTTGGGTACTGGGAATAGAACCCATGAACTACATCCCCAGCCCCCCCCCACTTTTTTTTTCTTGAGACGGGTCTCAATAAATTACTGAGGCTGGTCTTGAACTTACATTCCTCCGGCCATAGCCTCTGGACTCAGTGGAAATACTGGCATGTACCACTGCATTCAGCCTAGAGCATCATTTTTTTAAATTTTTTTTTTAGTTATTCATGGACATTATCTTTATTTTGTTTGTTTTTATGTGGTGCTGAGGACTGAACCCAGTGCTTCACATGTGAGAGGCAAGCACTCTGCCACCGAGCCACAATCCCAGCCCTAGAACATCATTTTCCTTTTTTGGGGTGTGTGTGGTGCTGGGGATTGAACCCAGGGCCTTATGCATGCAAAGCAAGCACTCTACCAACTGAGCCCTACAGCATCATTTTTCAATAATGAGTTTTTCAACTTTTGCAAAGGTACAAAACTTTTTCTTCTTTTTATTTCTAGTGTCACAATAATTTTTAATATTGCATTAAGTACAGAAATAGATATGTTACAAATATCTATTATGTTATTGTTAACTTTTCAATTTTTAGGACATTCTAAACATGTCTCCTGGAAGCCTAAATTTGAGATACATAATTTTCAAATAATGGTTAATGACAACTCTTAATTTTAACAATTTTACTAATTCAATCAAATCAACAAAAACACCAATTAAATGTTACTATCAAGAAAATTATCTTACTTTCCCAGCCAAGGTTTCTTTGTGAGTGGCCCTTCCAAACCACTCATAGCTCTTTTTCGGCTATCTGGTTCAAGAACTACTCTGGTTATGTTGCTATTAATTGAAACAGGAACTGGTGGTTCAGTCTGGATGACAATATTAGCAGCTGTTGGAAACAAAAATTCATATTACTGAGTTTTGTGGGAATTTCAGATGATTAAAGTATTTAGTCTAAAAAAAGAACTATGAATAGCTTTCAACTACTATCATTGCCTTTTTGGAAATGCCTAATAACAAGAAAAATTACAATGCTTCTTTATTCTCTTTTAAAAACTAAAAATTCAAGTTAAAAAACTTAAAGGCAACCCCAATGTAATAACTAATTCAGGCATAGATCATCAATGCGTTAAAAAATTACTGGATAAAGGTTACTGAAGAACACCACTCTACAAATTACTTACTTATAAAATAAATATATCACCTTATATCACCTTAGAGAAATAATCAAACTTAGCACCATTAATGAAGGGACATTATCTGTCTTCAGATGTAATCCCAGAAGTTGTTCACCATATTGTACGAACTGGATAGTATATTATGGAAATACGATTCTTACTGGGCAATAATACTGTGCTTATTTAGGACTATGTATTATTCTTAGATGTAAGCTAAAAGTTTTAAAGTGTCACAGCATCTGTCATTTACTTTCAAGTCATTCAAGAAAAACATGAGGGAAGAGGAAGGTCAATACTGTATAGTGACATATTTCAAAACAGTTATGAACAAAACACTATAATAATACTGTAAAACATATACTTATCAATGGCGGGAAGAAATGAATTGAACAAAAAAGTAAAATCACACAAAACCATGCATATTATACCCTGAGTATTTTCCCCTAAATTTAGCAACTCCATCAAGCAAAGAATAACTTATTGGGCATAGAGGGATGGATACAGGTGGGAAGTACTATGTTCCACTTAATCTATGCGACAATMAAGGAAATTATGACATAAAAGCTCATTCATTTCACATGTATTTCTTAAGCAACTATTTTATAGCTCTGAAAATGTAGAAGATTTTGGAAATAAATTAATGAATTAATCCTGCCCTTGTACGCTTTGTGTTTTAGAAGGCTAATGGAGGAGACAATAATTGTGATATTATAAAACATTCTAGAACTTGAGATGCCCTGGCACTTTCCTTAAATAGTTCTTATGATTACCACTTCACATTGCCTAATGCTTTTCTTGATTGAGGTGCTTCGTTAAAACAACAATAATAAAGATATCTGGAGGTTAAGTACTTATACGAGATGACAAAGCAAGTATTTAGTATATAAACCACATGACTTCTTCAGTGACAGAGATTATCTATGGATTACTATGTATGAATGTACAGACAGACCAGACCAGGTTATTTACAAAGGGAAGACATGAAATCATTGAGAACCTGAACTTCCCACTAATTTCAGGTAACTAGGTTAACAATATGTGCAACAAAGAAGGTAAGAACTTATTCTTTGGAGTTAGGTAGACCTGGGTTCAAATTCTAGTTCTGACCCTTAGAAGTTGTGTGATTTTGGGCAAATTCTTTAATAATATCCCCAGTGGCTTCGCTTTTGAAAAATAAGTATAAAAACAGTTATCTCTTTTATGAGCTGTTGTAAAGAATGAGAGAACTATATATATATATATGCATAAATATAAATTGTCAATAAATTTATGTTTATACAAATTTAAGTATAAATATAAGTATTTACAAATATATTTATACATACAAATAAAATCATATATCACATATTTATAATATATTTCTCTGTGTGTGTGTAGTGGGTATGTGTGTAAGCACATTATAGGCATTTGGTATAATCTTTTTTTTTTTTTTTTTTTTTTAATTTTGGTACCTGGGTATTGAACTCGGAGGTACTCAGCCACTGAGCCACACCCTCAGCCCTATTTTGCATTTTATTTGGAGACAGGGTCTCACTGAATTGCTTAGAGCCTAACTGCTGAGGCTGGCTTTGAATTCATGATCCTCCTGCCTCTGCCTCCCAAGCCACCTCATCCGACCATTTGGTACAATCTTAAAACAGTGGTAATAATATTATTAATGACAGTAAAGACGAATAAAATCAGGACAGCAAATAATAGGAAAGTGTTCACCACATGATTAAATTAGAAAATATGTTAAGTATGGCATGTGGCCAGTAACTCAAGCTGAAATTAAATTTTGGAAATTTAACTAAAGCAATAGTAACTGGAGTCACCACACTTGTTAAATAATCTTCTTTTGGCCAGGCGCAGTGGTACACAGCCATAATCCCAGCGGCTCGAGAGGCTTAGGCAAGAGGATCACAAGTTCAAAGCCAGCCTCAGCAAAAGCGAGGAACCAAGTAACTCAGTGAGATCCTGTCTCTAAATAAAATACAAAATGGGGCTGGGGATGTGACTCAGTGATCAAGTGCACCAGAGTTCAATCCCTGGTGACAAAAAAAAATAATAATCTTCTTTTGGAGGGTGGGGAAAAAGAGATTATCAACCCATATTAAAAGTAAAGGCTAATGTCTAATCTTGTGTTGTTTTTAATTTTTTTAATTTTTAATGTTTGTGCCTAAGCTTTGTAATAGGTTCTAAACTATGGTTTTACTGTTTTAGGTCCTCAGTTATTAGCATGAAACAGAACTCTCAGGGTACAAATAATGAGTTATTTGAGAGAAAGAGAACAATCATTTCATCTTCTATACTAATATCTAGCATAATACCTTGCATACAGCTTAAACAGTATGAAGTCCTATGCCCCAAAAAGCAATTAAATAACATTAATATTATCTGTATTAAAAAATGAAAATATTCTAACTATTGCTTTAAAATCAAAATTGGAGATAAAATTTTAAAATATTTGAAGTGATTGCATAATGCCCTTCAAAGAGAGTATATACATTATTTCCTCAAATGAGGTCAGAAATGCAAATGTAATAGCTATCCAACTACTGCATTACACTTATTATCAGATAAAGTTCAAGACATTCTCACCTCTTGGATTTGCATCCATATCTCCAGATGTTAGACCAATCAGGTTGGGACGCTGTGTCTGTGTTCTTGAAAAGAACTGTCTGTACTGTGATCTACCAGAGCTGGTAATACTAGGAGCTTCTGGGTTATAACCATCAGGTTCATAAGTATCTAAGGGAAAACAAAACAAAACATAAAAATCAGAAAGAAGTTAAACTACTTCCCATTATTATAAATAACTGCTAATAAATAAATAATAATAAACATATATTCTTCAACAAATATAATTATATCAACCAGCATATATTTCTTTTTTGAGTTATAGTTTATAGATACTCTGTTTGAAAGTGAAAGAAAAAATACTATTATCACAAAACATAAATATACCCATTTTCAAACTCTGATATACTACCAGATTCATTCACTTAGTCATTTCTACCCTATATATTAACTGCCTAATCCAAACTTCAATACATACTTCATGTATTATGTATACCATATATGGAAGATTGATGAGTTTCATGTCTTACCAATTCGTTTGCCTATCTGCACTTCAAAGTAAAGAAGTATTAGCTGGTTTTATATATGTATTAAAATTTTTTTTTCAAATAAAACATCTAGATAAGTTTTATATTTATAAATAATTATCTTAATATGACCTTCTTCACTTTTATCAAATGTCCTATATCTTCCCTAAACTAAGATTTTAATTTTTAAAATTATAATATTAAATAGTTATTATGTTAATGCTAAAAAATTTCTGAAAGTATTTATTTCCAAATGGTATAAATCCTTTTCACCTTCCATAAAAGGAAAAGCTTATGAATTAACTGAAAAACTAATTTTTATAAATGTTATTTAGAAGTCCTTGTGCCCTTAAGTGGTTCACATTAAATTTAAGTTTTAAGGTAAGGTACATTCAAATCTTCAATAATGATCAATTACTTCTACGATCCAAAGTAAAAGATTAGCAAATTATCCCATTTAGGGATCTTTCTGGACTCATATAAGCATTTGAAACTGCAGTGCCTATCTAAATGAGCACTATTAGGATTCAGAAGTCCTCAAAGAAGCAAATTTCTCACAACCCTCTTAGATTAAACCTCTCCCCTGAATACTGTGTTTTCCCTAACTTTACATTCATAAGCAAAATTTATATTCTCTCCTTGCACAAACCATAAACAAGCTACCATGAGCCTAAACAATAAAATGACATTAAAGCACAAATGATTCTGAGATATTTGGCATTAGAACTAAAACTGCTAGTCAGTACTTCTTCTCCCTACCTTCCCTCCATTCTTCCCCTTCTGGTTTTGAAAGAGTTCATGGGAGTAGCACAGAAGGGATATCAGTGTATTAAAAACTGATCCTCTCTTATTGTTTACTTCTTGAAATGTTTGTCTATTTTATTTATCTTTTCAAATGTTAACCAATGTTGAAATTAATCACCGGAGCCCTTTGTGCTGCCCTACTCAGAAGAGAATGACTCAGGAGATATAATTAATTATTATCACAATAATTTTCCTATCRTAGAATTTACATTTTATTCTCAAAGCTTTCATTAAGCCTCAAAGTAGTCTGATGATAGTTAACAAAAGCACAACCAAACAGATGCTTTCACCTCAAGAGATAGGAGGCTATACTTACACTTATCTGGGTTTCATATTCAGGCTTCACATTATTTAAATATTTCAGCTTCTGCTCTAAGCCACGCCCCCACTTTTTTGTTTGTTTGTTTCAAGACAACTATAGTTTAATAGTGAGTATACCCTTTTGACAGAAACTTGCATTGGAACAATATGTAGCTTGAAAATAAATCTCATCTACTTGCTTAATTAAAGCTGAATGTGTTTAAGACTGACATAATTTGATGATACGTAAAATAATAATTTCCATGGTTTTTGTAAGTGTCTAAAAATTATATAACATACAAAATAAATGCCATTTTATATTTTTAAAAAATCAGCAAAATATGTTTAAAAGTTTTCATTTACCATGTGGCATTACTAACAAAATCTTGTACAGTCAAGGCTACAAAAAGTTTTAAAGTTACATAATCAAATGTCCCTGTTCTGTAATTCCTGGGAATACACATAACGCCAATAAACTTAAAAGTCCTTTAGTTAATTATGATGAACTGAAATCTAAAGGCAAAGTGAAAAAGGTTTAAAAAAACAAAAAAACAGTCTCATGAGACAAAGCAATYCACAGATCTTCAAAATATACACATCAACAGGAGGAAAGAGTTCTTTTCAAGAATCACCACATTACATTCAATTAGTCCATACAATGAGAGGTAGAAGGGGGGATAGGGATATTTTATCCATAATCAGCAAGAAACCAATTTTTTTTGTTTATTTTAAAGAAAAATTACCCTAGTTTTTCCTCATAATGTATAACTAATTAATTAGAAAACACTCAAGTAGCCAGGTGCAGTGGCACATGCCTATAATCCCAGCAGTTCAGGAGGCTGAGGTGGGAGGATCATGAGTTCAAAGCCAGCCTCAAAAAAAAAAAAAAAAAAAAAAAAAACAGCCAGCATCAGGGGTGGAGCAAAAAGCCAACTCAGCAACTTAGCATGTCCTAAAGCAACTTAACAAGACCCTGTCTCCAAATGGAGTATAAAAAAAAAAAGCTAGAGATGTGGCTCAATGATCAAGCACCCCTGGGTTCAATCCCCAGTACCAAAAAAAAAAGGAAAGAAAATACTCAAGTAGATACTACCTTCCTGTCTACTCAATCAGAAATTAGCATGACTTCATTACTGAGACACAGAGAGTTAATACAGAAGATGACAGACACAAAGGGGGCCTATTCATCTAGTAGCCAATAAAAACAAAGCAAAGCAGCAGAGGAACACATAATAAAACAACCTAAGAGTTTAAATAGGAATATGTGACAGCAGATCAGGATGTCAGGCCACCTCTTAGGTGACCAGCTTAAGGTATAAAAGATCAGTAAGGTGGATGGCCATCTGCAGCAAAGCTTACCTGGGACCAGAGGGGTGGGGCTGGAGACTGAGGTATGATACCCAATGGAGGATCCCATGAGGTTTCGAGGTGGCACCAAACGAGCAGCCAACAGAGGAGGCGGTGTCCCCAACTGAAGTCGCTCAGATGCAGCAGCACCATGTTCACGAGAGTACATGGGCTGTCCTATAGAGGAAAGAATAGGAGGGCAGCTGGGATTGAGAGTCACAAGCTTCTCTTAGGTAATGGTGTACTTCCTGAGACTGAGCCAAGACACAGAAATTATACCAACAGGAACAGTAGTTGAGAAAGAAGTTACTGAGATTCTTTCTAACTCAAGAAAGTACAGACTCGGGCTGGGGATGTGGCTCAAGTGGTAGCGCGCTCGCCTGGCGTGCGTGCGGCCCGGGTTCAATCCTCAGCACCACATACCAACAAAGATGTTGTGTCCGCTGAGAACTAAAAATAAATATTAAAAATTCTCTCTCTCTCTCTCTCTCCCCCCTCTCTCACTCTCTCTTAAAAAAAAAAAAAAAACTTGGAAAAAAAAAAAAGAAAGTACAGACTCGCCACTGGTTAGGATGCATTCAGGTATAAACAAAATAAGAACTAGGTAGTACAATTACATAATCTCCATCTTTTAGAATCTTAAATGGAACAACTATGTGTTCATTATATCCAAAGCCAACCAACCAACCAACCATGTCAAGTTACCAAAGGAGTCCTGAGCTATTATTCACATAGCATTTTGTATCCAAAGAGATATGCAACTGATGGCTATCCGACATACACTCTCCTCAAAACCACATATTTTAGGTTTGCACAAAAAATACTCTACTGAGAAAAGAAAATAATGGACTACTACCACAAGCATATCCTCACAAAGAATAAGAAATGTTCAAAGAGAGCAATAATTTGTTATTCCCCATGGGTAGGTCAATAACAGAACAAAGACAAAAAACTTGATACACAGACAAGCATTGGACATATGAAATTATTCCAGATACTATGAATCATGTTTTTAAAGAGAGCATGCATATGTGTGTGTGTGTGTGTGTGTGTGTGTGTAAAATATACAACAATATAGACACAATGAAGTCAAATTCTGAAGAACAAGATTAGAAAAAGAATAATCATACCGGTGAGGTCCTGGATTTAATCTCTAGCACAATTTTTAAAAGAGAAAAAATATATCAAAAAGCAAACTTTCCTTTGGCTGTTTAATAGTATCTTGGGCTGGGGATGTAGCTCAATAGCAGAGAACTTGCTCCCTGAGTTAAATCCCCAATACCACCAAAAGAAAAAAGGAAAAAAACAAAGCATATTATTAACTGACAACTCCACATGAGACATATAAATTTATAAAGTTTAATYAGCGTATTATATCCAAAGTCAGACATTCTCTATAATACACGAACCAAATTAAAGTGAATTTAGGACATGTGTGTATATGTGTGAGTGTGTATTTGTATGTGGTACTGGGAATTGAACCCAGGAGCATTTGAGCTCTGAGCTACATCCCCAGTCCTTCTTTAAGTTTTACTTCAAACTGAGTGGGTCTTGCTAAGCTGCTGGGGTAGGCTTTGAATTTGCAATCCTCCTGCCTTAGCCTCCCTAGATGCTGAGATTACCGAAGTGTACCACCATGTCCAGCTCCTAAAGATCTTTAATACACCTCAACAGGAGAGGCTATAAAGCAACCACTTGATTTCATAATTAATGTTAAGAAATAGAAAGGCTAAACTTTACTACTCTTCTCTTCCTAATATATGGAGAAACAGAAGTGATAAACCATATAATATAGCAGACTACATAACTGGGCACTTAACACCAATCCTCTCAAAATTTCTATTCAAAAAGTATCAGTTAATCATTGTACTGTACACATGATTCAACATTATCTTCAATGATCTAAAAATAGTTTTAAGCATGAACTAACTGCTTAAAACTGGGGATAGGGCACACTGGTTACAACACCCCTAGGTTCAATCCCCAAATAAAATTTCTRATGCACCATAAAATAGATCAAGTATGTCTAATTAGCAATAACTAAGCCAAAGAAAACTGAAAAGTAAAAGGCTAATTTGTACAGTGTTTTAAAAACCATTGACAACATGCTATTCAAATACTTCAGAAAGACTGTTGTTATTCAAATAAAATCTGATTTTTCTTAACATCTGTTAAGGTCCCTAAATAGCACTTTTAAAAGAAAATGTTCTTGGGCTGGYGATGTGGCTCAGCAGTAGAGCGCTCGCCTAGCATGTGCGAGACCCTGGATTCGATCCTTAGCACCACATAAAAATAAATAAAGGTATTGTGTCCAAATACAACTAAAAAGTAAAATATTAAAAAAATGTTCTTTAGACAAAGGGCTGATTCTAGGTCTGGGCAGAAAATATTTAAGATGAGTTTGCTACGCCATGGTATAACTTATCCTTCCAAAAGACATTTACCAAAGACTAGTGCATCGAAAATAAATAAAAATCCAGCAGGGGTCAATAGGAAATGATACAACAGGTCAAAGATGAGAAAATCTGAACATCAAAAAGGACTGTAATGGGGGCTGGGGTTGTGGTTCAGTGGCAGAGTGCTTGCCTAGCATGTGTGAGGCACTGAGTTCGATCCTCAGCACCACAAATAAATATATATAAAAAATAAAGGTTCATCAACAACTAAAAAATATTTTTTTAAAAGAGGACTGTAATGGAGCAGAACATTATCAAACATAATAAAAATACATGAGTTCATAATGATACTTTTTAAAATTTTTTTTGGAGGGAGGAGGGGGACCGGGAATTGAACTCAGGGGCACTCAACCACTGAGCCACATCCCCAAGCCCTCTTTGGTTTTTTGGGKTTTTTTTAATTTTTTAAATATTTATTGTTTAGTTTTCGGCGGACACAACATCTTTGTTTGTATATGGTGCTGAGGATCAAACCCGGGTCGCACGAATGCCAGGCGAGCGCGCTACCGCTTGAGCCACATCCCCAGCCCCCAAGCCCTCTTTTGTATTTTATTTAGAGACAGGGTCTCACTGAGTTGCTTAGCACCTCGCTGTTGCTGAGGCTGGCTTTGAATGCGTGATCCTCCTGCCTCAGCCTCCTGAGTCGCTGGGATTACAGGCATGAGCCACCATGCCCGGCCAAAATGATACTTAAAAAAAATACAGGCAGCCCTTTTGGAATACACAGAAAATCAACTCATCATTCTGAAAACTGAAATAAAAGAAAACAAACATTTTTCTGTCTTTCTTGTAAAACTGAATTTCAGGATAACCAAAGGTTTAATACTGCCAAGTTTTACTTTATAGAATTATAGAAATAATGAAAAAGAAATTGCAGAATTAGAGTATCACATGAAACAGAGATCCATACATCATCAAAACTGGCTATTAAAACTGGCACCAAAACAGGCTGGTAGACCAATGGTACAAAATAGAGGACACAGAGACAAATCCATAAAATTACAACTACCTTATATTAGACAAAGGTGCTAAAACCATCCAATGGAGAAAGGATAGCATCTTCAACAAATGGTGCTGCGAGAACTGGAAATCCATATGCAACAAAATGAAATTGAATCCCTTTCTCTCACCATGCACAAAAGTCAACTCAAAATGGATCAAGGAGCTAGGAATCAGACCAGAGACTCTGCGTCTAATAGAAGATAAAGTTGGTCCTAATCTTCATCATGTGGGGGCAGGCCCCAAATTTCTTAATAAGACACCTATAGCACAAGAGTTAAAACCAAGAATCAACAAATGGGACAAATTCAAACTAAAAAGTTTTTTCTCAGCACAAGAGAAAATATGCGAGGTGAATAGGGAGCCTACATCCTGGAAACAAACTTTTACCCCTCAAACATCAGATAGAGCTCTAATCTCTAGAGTATACAAAGAACTCAAAAAGTTAAACAACAAAAAAGCAAATAACCCAATCAACAAATGGGCCAAGGACTTGAACAGAAACTTCTCAGAAGAGGATATACAATCAATCAACAAATACATGAAAAAATGCTCACCATCTCTAGCAATCAGAGAAATGCAAATTAAAACTACTCTAAGATACCATCTCACTCCAATAAGAATGGCAGCCATTATGAAGTCAAACAACAATAAGTGCTGGCGAGGATGCAGGGAAAAAGGTACACTCATACATTGCTGGTGGGACTGCAAATTGGTGCAGCCAATTTGGAAAGCAGTAGGAGATTCCTTGGAAAGCTGGGAATGGAACCACCATTTGACCCAGCTATTCCCCTTCTCGGACTATACCCAAAAGACCTAAAAAGAGCATACTACAGGGACACAGCCACATCAATGTTTATAGCAGCACAATTCACAATAGSTAGAATGTGGAACCAACCTAGATGCCCTTCAATAGATGAATGGATTAAAAATGTGGCATTTATACACAATGGAATATTACTCAGCACTAAAAAATAACGAAATCATGGCATTTGCAGGCAAATAGATGGCATTAGAGCAGATTATGCTAAGTTAGCCAATCCCTAAAAAACAAATGCCGAATGTCTTCTCTGATATAAGGGGGGTGACTCAAAATGGGATAGGGAGGGGAGAGCATGAGAAGAAGACTACCAATAAATAGGAAAGAGAGGTGGGAGGGAAAAAGAGGGAGAAGGGGAGTTGCACAGAAGATGGAAGGACAACCTCACTGTTATACAGAATACATATATGACGTTGTAATGAGAAAAAGGAAAAAAAAAGTGTGTCACATTAGATCGGATAGAGAGAAAGGATGCAAGAGGAGGGGAGGAGTAGAGAGGATAGGAAGGGCAGCAGAGCAGACAATATGATTGATGTAGGTACATTCCATGTATGTATTATATATCAAAATGCATTCTACTGTCATGTATGACTAAACAAATAAAAATTTTTAAAAAATAAAATAAATTATATGGGGAATGCATTTATAAAACATGAATGATTTATGTAAGAAAAACCATAAAATGTTCCTCAAATAAAACAAATGCCTAAATATGTTGAACAAATGCAAAAAAAACCTGGCTATTAAAACTATGAGCAAACTTTTAAAATGAATGGATCAGGATGAAAAAAATCTGGGTGCACTGATCAATATTATAACACAGAAAGGAAATACCAGACATGAACATAATGATGTTCTACAGTAGGAAGTACATAAACCCATCTACAAAACGTTCTTCCAAA